TTTCCTCCTCCATAGAAACGAGGGCTTAATTACACATACACGGGCTATGCAATGAAAAAGAGAATAAAATGATAAATAAAAGAGATAAAAGTTTAAGAAGACCTTATTTTTACCCCTTTTGCTTAGATATTTTCTCTTGAAATGAATTGTTTACTTTTTTTTTCAAAACATCAACTTCTTTGTTGAGATTGCAACACTAATAATTAGTTGAGGCTCCTCCCTACAAACGTAGAAAAAGAGAGAGAAAAAGTAGAAGGAGAAGGTGTAGAAATTAAGTGTAGAAAATGGTGTATATATGAGTGTATATGTATGTACATGTGTCGAAAAAGAGAGAAGACAAGTGTGTAGAGAGAGAAAGAGTAAGGGGTGTGGCTAAATAAGATTAGGGGGGTTGTGTGCGCTGTATGAAATGTGAAAAAAATGAACCTATTTATACAAGAGAATGGAACAATCTTAAATATTTTAGAGGGCAAGCACAATGAAGGGGTGGTATTGAGTTTTGCAGGCTAGATTTTAAAATTTTAAAAGTATGGCGGGTTGCGCGTCTTAAGATGCACCACTATTGAAAAAGTGCATAATGTATTTAAAAATGCTCCATGTACTATTTGCTGCTAAAATTACATATTTGCCCCCAATTTTTTAGAAACTGCATTTTATGGTATTTTTGAATTTCTAAGCATTTTTTTGGGATTTTTTTCATGCATGTGATGGCATATGTTTTCCCCCTAGCAAGGTTTGGACAACTCAGCATATATGTAAATTGACTGTTTTGTCACTGGGATTAGAATTTTGGTCAAATGAGTGTTCCAATTGGAACATAGCTAATATTATAATAATTTATAAGATTTTTAAACCTTATGAATGCAATGTATATTTGTCCGTTTTATTGTTGATTTGAAAAGTCAAACTTCAAGTTGATCGTTGACCCTTACCAAATGGTTTTGGTCAAATGCAGGCTCGAAAGGAAAGTAGGCATTATCACGTTGTTTTTGTAAGGTTTTTGGACCTTTTGAGCACAATGGTGATGTATGTTGCTGTTGGTTTAAAAGTCAAACTTGAAATTGACCATTTTACCCCTATTTTAGGGTTTCATCAATCAAGGTGCTAAGGAAGGCTGCTGATCTCAAAGAGGGATGTATCCTATGCTTTTTGAGTAGTATGGACATATTTCTGGAATTTGTTTACCATTCTAACAATCGGATTGAGGGGTTGTAATGTAAAATCTCAATTTTGTCCTTTCTGGGGGATTTGTCATCGGGTTCTACGAAGCGCGTGATGTGCTTGATCCTTGTATTTTCCTAAGGTTTCGGGGTGTTATATATGCAAATATGAAGCCTGACTTTTGATCAGATGGTCAGATTTTGATTTTTCAATTTTTTGCTATGTGAGCCTTACCAATAACTAGACTCAAGAGTTTCTTCCTTGTGGCTAATGTGGCTTTGTAATGTGAAAGGAGAGGAAAAAATGGGGTGTCTACAATACATTGTATCGAGGATTTAATATTAATAGGGTTTTCACCTAACTTGGACACACTTTAAATTTTTTTTTTTTTTTTTGTTATAGTAATTGAATTTTAGTTAAGGAAACAAAATAATAAATAATATAAAATTGTGAGTCACAGTTCCCAAGATAGATAACTATTTTGGAATGGAGGGAGTAAGAAAATTTTTTATTAAGTCCCACAAGTTTTCAAATTCTAATAACATAGTTTGGTTGATTTATGTCCTTTTTAATTTATGTTAATAGTATACTCTTAACATTTTTATAATGTTGATGTATTAGTAGGATATTATAATTTGGGATGACCCGAGGAATCCGAAAAATTCGTGAAACCCATCCTATATGGAGTGGGTTGACATGTGATGAGTTCCTCATGACTTGGGCTCCCCTACCAATACATATAAGCACCTCACTAGTTATTTTCACACCTCGAAACATGATAGCCTACCAGTCAAGCATACCTATCCACAAGGTCGCTACAATCACATCCCCTTTAGGGATCCAATGTCCCCATTGGCCACACTCCGGCTGGGTTCCAGCTTTGATATCATTTTGTGATGGTCCATTCTACCACATAGTATGATATTGTTCGTTTTAGGCCCACATGGTTTTGTTATTGAGTGTTACCCTAAAATGACTCATATCATTTAGAGATAACATTAGTACATATAAATATCTCACATTTTCCATACTCAAGCGACATAAAAGATTGTGTACTCGTAACCTACCAGTGCCTTGCACCCGCCCACGCATATCCGGTTGCCACATTGAATCAAAAACCCATTTGAAAACTAATTTTTGCAACTTCCCAAGTGTGTTGGACCTGTCCAAAAGAGATGGACCGGTCTATCTTGACAACATCACCGTTCTGAAGCTCCCTGTCAAATTGGAACGGTGCACTGAAAGCGGAATTGGTCGAAATCTTCCAGTAGCCAAAGAAGTCTCGTGAGAGACCGGTCGAAATCTTCCAATCGCGAAAGAAGTCTTGTGAGAGTCACATGGGATCGGTCATAATGTTTGGACCAGTCCATTAGTCAAGATGACACCAAAATCTGCTAATTTAACCGTTCCGAGTTCTTCACAACTTCACAATGTAATCCCAAGTAATGATCAAACTTCACAAAATTCAACAATTTTAACTTTGCTATGTTCGGTGTTATGCCAGCTATTTTTCATATGTTACTTTTTTTTTTTTAGAATATTATTTACCCATTAATGCAATTAAGTGGAAAAGGATCGGTTGTCGAAGTTGTCTTCTATCTTGCAAGTGCTATTAAATGGAAATTTAATGAGGACGTTGTAAAGAGAAACTGATTGCATCATTCAAGATTATTACAAGCAGTTGTTATGGTGCATACTTTATTATATTTCCTTAGTTCTCACTTTCATTATTTTCATTAGACAACTCACCTTATTTTGAATATATATGGTTAAAAAAATTTAGATTAGTATAGAGTAAGGTTTCCTAAAATTAGGAAACTGGCGTAGTTAGTTTCTATTTTGATGAGGAACAATGTTGAAGCACCTTGAGGATAATTCAGCTATTGAAGAATAATAACATGATATAAAAGGGAAAAAAAATACCCAACGTTGCAGAAGAGGTCTCATCAGTGGTTCTGATTAAGCAACACACAAACCCAACACTGCATGGCAAGAGAAATGGTGGGGCAAACAATCAATCTTTGAACAATTTACAAGGCATTTTTGATCTGGAGTAAAGCTACACTCAAAGATTGAGTTGCTGAGTTGGTTCGAAGAATATTTTATTCATCTAACCAAAGCCAAGGTTGAAAAGAGGAAAACATGAACTTGGTCTTGTCACCTTCTTTTGATCACCGAATAGAATTATTATTTATATATTAGGGGAAAAAAAAAAAAAAAAAAAAAAGTGTACCTTTGCTTTGGAGATGCGCTTACGTAGAATGTGTAACATGTGTTTGTGTGTGCATGCGTGCTTGTGATGTTTTTTCATTTTGCACTTGTCCATTTCTCATGCCAATTACAATAAAAACTATATCCAAGTAATTTCATTCGGATGTAATTTACGAAGCATGCAAAAAGTGTTTATTATCTCCCAAAAAAAAAACAAGAAATTAATAAAAATGACGATGAAAAAACAAATGATGAGAAGATGAAAAAAATTGAAAATGATGGAAAAAGGAAGTGATAAAAAATATATAGAGAGAGAGAAAAAAAGAAATGAGGAAAAGAAAAAATCAAAGCTTTGGGTTGTGAAATATAGAAGTTCAAAATTTTCACTTCTTTAAAATGAATTATTTATTTGTTATAATAATTATTGTAGAAGTTCAAGCGTCGCACGTGCTCTTCTCCTGGTGTGTATATATATCTAAATATATGCATAAGCTGATAAGCACATATATACATCAGTGGAACCCAGAGAACAATTCTAAGTTTTTTCTCCTGTCCATCAAAACGACACATAAAAACAACCACAAAAGCAAAACAAACTATCCAGCAGAGAACATGCGTGTCCTGTATGACACCATTGTTACAGTCGAGCCAACTAATTAATAAGCTGATAACTCCATTCATCTTCTATTGCCCATTTGTTGGAAGAAGTGTATCACAAGAAGTCCCTGCTAGTGCAGGTGCCATCTTTAAAATGATGAATCTGTTTACATCTTTAACAACAAAATCCCCCTCCACAATCTCACTAATCAGCTTGAAAGCCTCATGACAGTCCTACGCATTTTCAAGTTTTCAGCACTCTAAATGGTCACTCCTTTAGGTATGCTTATCAAACCAGAACTCAATGCCAATCTCTCACTATGAAGACCCACAATCCCCTCCTTGGTTTCCTCGTCCACGTCCACATTGACAAACACCAAACCTGAACTCTCTCTCATGTACCCCCTTTTCTTCATTCTCCTCTCCAATTCCCTCAACAAACTCACTTCACTTCCTTGTGCGCACGAGGACATATTCCCAGCCTAGATACATATAAGTACAATCCTTGATCTCAACCCAACCGCAACCAGGTTCTCTAGAAGTTCCATACCCTTCATTTCAGACCAAATACTATGAACACTATCCCACCTCCTGGCCAATGCAAAAGTGATTGTTGGTTTGATTCTATAAGCCACTTACTGGCTTCAAAAGCAATATCTACCTTTCCATAAAGCCTACTGGTAGATAGAAGAGTTCCCCACATGAGAGCCCCTTATCCAGGTTGACTTGAATAGACTTCGCTATGCTATAAGCCCCATCAAGTTTGCCAGTTCGGCCTAGCATATTAACAACTGCTTTGAGTCAGGTACTATCCCATGTCCATCGAACATGGACTTCAAGTGCTCAAGACCTTCATCTTCATCGATGAGACCTGAATGACTACAAGCATGTTGGACACACACAATTTTGACATTGTTGGGACTTATTCTTCTCTCAAGCATTTCTGGAAAGAGTTGAGCGATAATTTCCCAAAGTCTGTAATCATTGAAGTGTATGGAATTACACAAGGAGTGGATTCTTCAAAAGACCTTATGAGAAGATCCAATACACCCACAATTCGCATACATATCAACAAGTGCAATTGCAATCACATGACTTAAATCATGGCCATGGACCATGGCAAATCACAGCTCCATGTTTGACCTTCCCTGACACTAGGCTACCTAACTCATATAGAATATAACAAAATGTTATTATTAAAGCTACAGATTAGGTTCACTAGTAATGTTGCAAGACAAAATCAAAACAAAGCAAGAGTTGGTAATTTCCTCTTATATCTACTTGTTCATGGTAATATCTAACTCATAAGAAACTGCAAAAAGCAAAACGCATCATGGCTATGGACTTCAGATTAGATCATGCATCAAAGTATTCAACCTTCATTACAGTAGCAACTCCCTCAAATAGCAATGTTGGTTGATGGCTATGGACTTCAGATTAGAACATCACAGTATTCAACCTTCACTTCCAGCAGAAACTCCCTCAAATAGCAGTGTTGCTTGAGGGTTCGATTCCCTTTTCCTGTCAAAACCAACAGTAATAAGTGACCATAGTTGAACTCCAATTGATTAAAAAAAAAAAAATCATATAGATACCATACCATAAGCTGGTTGCTTGGCGAATGTTTGGCATATTAGCAACATCATAAGGTTCAAATCCTTTCGATTCCAAGTTATACAATATTAGCTTCTCATTTTTCAGCAGGAGAATGTCATTCTTCAGAAATTTGATCGGAAAGGAATCTTTGGGGATTTTTATTTCAAAATTACTCCATGATGCACGATCATCGTTTTCATCTAGTAACAAGTGAATTTTGAGCATCGAATCCACGTACATAAAAATAGCTGGTCTACCTTTCAGGAGACAGATATCAACTCGTCCTGCTCCTCGTGTCTCATGACAGGGTGTCTGAACTCTGGTGAAAGTCTCAGTAGGAAGATGGAAAACAGAGAGAATTTCCTCTTCACCATCTTTTGCAATCCAATAAATTGATTGCTTGAAATAGACCCCATGCCCTGAACTGAAAGAATAATCATGCGGGGAGGGACGAACCAAATGCCATCTGTTTTTGGTTGGGGTGAAGACGCTAACTTGACTCATCTGATTAGTGTTTCCAAAGGAAATATGCACAACTTTAAAAGTAGTTCCATCAAAACCAATTCCCCAAATTTTCTTGTATAAGATGCGAGGCATATCTCGAACCACGTATTTGCACGGAGGCACTATCTTCCATCTTTGGGTAGATGGGTTCACCAAGTAAAAATCATCACCTTCTGAAACTAGTAAAACTCCATCACATGAAAATACGTGGTTTTAGACATGGCAATTTCCATTTCTATCTCCCTTGCCATGAGTTGAGGCTCATCCAACCAAAATAGTGACCTGTATCGAAGCAGGATGACCTCATCCTAAATCAACAATAAGAGAAACAAAATAAATAAAACACGAAATAAACTATTAATATATATTTTCAATTAAAATATTCTAACATGCTAGGCAACGACTCTTTCTCCAGACTATTATATCTTTTGATATTTTCTCTTACTTTTTATTTGTCATGATAGCGTCAGACAAATCGTAAATGTAGTCCTTTTCAAGGCTGGAGTTGCATCAGAAAATTTTACCTCTATATATTTCCTCTCTTTTTTATTAATGCTATATATTTATATATATATATATATATATTCTTGGTCTTCTGTCATGTAATCAGTAATCTTAATTACCACAAATAACACGATAATAACCACATGTATTAAAACAAATCAAAACATCAACTCTTTAGTGTGATTGAGTTGGACTGAGTTAAAATCTAATGGAGGACAAGTAAATCATGTATTAACTTTTCTTCAAAGATAACTTTAAAGATAATTTCAATTCACATATGCATGATTAAACAAAAAATACTACAATTTTACAAAATAAAGAAAATCAATTATCAAAGTAACCACACAATAGTTTTCCTAGTGTTTTAATGTTTTAAAACATGGTTGGGTCTAATGGGTTTGTCAAAATATCTGCTAATCGATTGTTTCCATGAACTTCTTCTAAGATTATTATTTTTTGCTTAATAAGTTCACGTGTAATCACAGAATATAGACACAGAATACAGGATTTTTAAAGATATTTTTCGGCCTTCGTTGAATGAAATTGACTTTTGTTTCTTACTAGACCATGCAACTAATAAGTGTGCATCTAGACAGAAACACCCATTAGATGTGTTTTTTCTAACATCTATACTTCAGGTCAATATAGCCAGCTAATTCACAATTTGAATTAGTTTACCTTAATCCATAATCTAGAGTCCTATTGAGTTTTATAATGATTCTTTTAACAGTTGTAATGTACGACTCTTTAGAATCAAATTGATACCAAACACATATATGATATATCAGCACTAAAAGCTACGTATGATCTACTAGCAGTCAAGTAAACTCCTTATCATACTCCCATATAAATAAGGATCAATACTTTTACCACTAGGGTCTATGCTTAACTTAGTAGTCACACTCATAATAGTACTCACTCTTCTGGCTAATTGTAACCCTAACTTTTTCACTTATTTTTCTAACGTATTTAGATTGTGAGAGAAAATTTTCATCATCTGATTATTTAATTTGTAAGCATAGGAAGAAGGTAAACTCACCAAAACCATGCTCATCTTAAAAGATTCTCTCATTTGTTCTGCTACAAATTCATGAGCTTTTTCATCATAAATGAAACCAAAAATAATATCATCTACATAAATTTGGGCATTATCAATTAAGTTTCTTAATAAAAAGAGTTTTATTAGCACCTCTTTTGAATTTTTTTCCTAATGAATATGTAGTGAGTTTTTCATACCAAACTCTAGGAGCTTGTTTAAAAACAAATATAGAGCCTGTTAAAAATATTTGGAATGTAAGTTTTTAGGTTGTTCCACTTCCACATAAACCTCCAAGTACATACCAATAAAAAATGTGTTTTTAACATCCATTTGGTATAATCTAAACTTCCAACGAAAGCGATGGCAAGTAGTATTCTTATAGACTTCAATTGTACAACAACAACCAAGCCTTTTCCGAACTACTTGGGGTAGGCTACATGAATCCTATGTTTCCATTCCACTATATCTAAAGCCATAGTCTCAGTCAATCCACATGTTATCATATTCTTACCAACTCTATCAGGTTAACTTTAGTCTTCCTCTTCCTCTAGTATTACCCCTAATATAGTCTATTTAGCTTTTTCCTAATTGGCGCGGTTTAAGATTTCTTTGCACATGTCCAAACCATCTTAACCAATTTTCTCATTTTATCTCCAATCTGTGCTACTCTATCCATCTTCCGAATGTGATCATTTCTAAGTATATCATTTCTACTCTTACGGAACATCCATCTCAACATCCGCATTTCTGCCACACTCAATGCATATGTTATTTCCTAACTACCCAATATTCTGTGCTATAAAGTGTGGCTGGTCTAATAACAGTTTGATAGAACTTCACTTTCGGTCATAAGGGTACGCCTATCAGATAATAGACTAGATGCACTTCTTCATTTGAACCATCCTGCCTTGCTTACAAGTTTAGCGTCATCTCCAATTTTTCCTTCATTATGAATAATTGAGCCTAAATAACGAAAAATGTTCTTTTTTTTTTTTTTTTGTACATCTTGATTTTCAATCTTCACTATATCCTCATTTGTATTTCTAAATTTACTGAAGTTATATTCCATATATTCAGTTTTACTTCTACTTATCTTAAACCTTTTTGTTCTAAAGCTTCTCTCCAAACTCCAATTTGGCATTAACTCCTTCTCTAGTCTCATAGACTAGAAGACTTCAATCGTACAACAGGTGCAAAAGTTCCATCCAAATTTATGTCCTCGAGTTGGTTTACCCCTGTGCAACTAATTGTGCTTTATTCCTAGCTACTATGCCATGGGCATCAAGCTTGTTTTTAAATATCCACTTAGTTCCAATTATATATGCATCTTTAAACCTAGGAACTAGTGTCAAAACATCATTCTTAACAATTTGTTGTAATTATTCTTGCATATCATTATTTCAGTCACTATTTGTTAGGGCTTTATCTACTTTCTTAGGTTAATCCTGAGAAAGACAATATACTTATCAAAAAAAAAAATCCTGAGAAAGACAATATAAATTGTTAATTTGACTATGTAATGGTCTTTTGGTTCTAATTCCAGTATCTAATTTGCCAATCACTTCATCAGTAGGATGATCCCTATGTACTTTGTGTCCTTGTCTAAGGGGCTAGGTCTCTTCTCTAGGTTCTTAGGTGGAGTGAGTATTCAATGTCATCATCATTATCAATAGTTGTGTTCATAGAAAGGAGAGATGGTTGGCATCTCCCCTGACAGGGACGGGAACAGTCTTTGGGCTTACCTGTTAACGCATCCGGTTAAGGCTTCCCACTTTGGTGGATCTATAACCCAATTTTTACTTATAAAAATAAAAAAAATAAAAAATCATCATTATCAATAGCTTTACCTTCATCATCAATTCTAACATTTATTTACTCCATAACCTTTTTAGTTCTCAAATTATAGACGTGATAAGCCCTACTATTTGAAGCATAACCTAAGATGTATCTTTCATCACTACGAGAATCAAACTTACCTAGATCCTATCTATCCCTCAAAATACAGCATTTACTCCCAAAAGTTCTAAGATGCTTTATATTAAGTTTTTTATTAAACCATAATTTACATGATGTCTAATCAGTGTTAGGCCTCAAATAAACTCTATTTCGGGTGTGACAAGCATTGTTCACAGCCTCAGCCTAAAAATGTTGAGCTAGACAAGTATGTAACATTGCTCTGACCATCTCTTAAGTTACTCTTTCTTTCAGCTACAACATATAGTTGTGGTGTACCTGCAACAGACAATTCACGTTTAATTTATAATTCATAACTAAATTTAATACATTCTCCGTAGAATTCTCTACCTCTATCACTTTTAATTATGTCAGTTTTTCAATTTGGATTCCTTGACATATAATCTTGAATTTATGATAAGTGTCTGATTTTTGTCAAAGGAAAACTAACCATGTGTACCAAGAAAAATCATTTTCTATAACTAACATATATCTCCTATCACTTATATTTTCAACTAGAATTCGCCCAATGAGATCTTTATGTATAAGATGACATGGTTTAGATGTATTTATTGTTCAGAGTCTCTTGTGTGATAATTTTGTTTGTTTTCCTTTTTGACATGGATCACACATTTTGACTGGTGTTTTTCTAAACTTAGGCAAACCTATAGCAAGATCATGTTTATAAAATTTGACCAAGTCTTAATAGTTAACATGACCAACTCTCCAATGTCATAGCATCATGGCATCAGTTTGTACACTATTACACACTCTAACTGTATGACATAACAGTCACTTGTCAGTTGTCACCTATGGACCTTGTACCTTTCAAAGTATTATTCCCTTCCTTACCTATTACTACACATTCATATTGTGTAAAATAGACTTTTTGTTGTTTATCACATAGTTGACTTCAATTTGTTTTCAGTCCATCTACATAACAAACATCTCTTAACTCTAAATTCAAGAAATTGTTACAATTCCATAGCCTATGTGCCTTTTACAATCTCCAAACCTAACCATACCACCATCACAATCTGTCAAAGATGACAAAAAAAGATTTGTTTCCGGTCATGTGCCTAGAAGACTCTATCAAAATACAAACATTTATCTTCATCATCGATAAGTGCCATATATGTACTAAGCATTCGACCTCTTCATTTCTCACCCAAATTTCCCTCTCTCTTTTCTCACCCAAATTTCCCTTTCACTAGAAGTGATTTGATTTTTATTTGTCTCTAAACTCTTAATGGGGGAAAGAATAATTACTTTTGAAGTTCGTAGAGTCTTTTCTTTAGGAAGAGCTTTACGCTTCTTTTTTCTTATTAAATTCATTTATATGTTTGGTGTAGTTATATTTTATGTCACCTTTCTCTAAACAATAATGACACTTTGGAACTTGTCTAGGGGGATCTACCTTTTCAGTCTTACTAGATTTTCCATAACTATGTTGACAACATGTAGAATTAACAACCATATCCTTCGAATCTAGTTTTTCAATTGTATTGTGTTTAGTTTTCTGAAGCAATTCTAATTTTTCAAGTCTAAATTTTAATTCTTCAATCATCTTCCTAGGCTGTGAAGTACACCTTTATCTTTTTTGACTTCAGTTAACATAAACACTGAACTAGCAAATTCGAGTTTTTGATTCTCTCTTATATGTTCCACTGCCTTTATTTTATTCTAACAATTCAAAATTTTCAACTTGTAAACTAAGAAAATCATTATGTAGTTCTGTAAAAGCCAGTCTAAATATATCAATTTCATCACATTCTAAGTTGAAAGTATTATTTGATGACATGTTATGCAATTCATCATATAAAGCAACCCAAGTAGTATTACCATGCTTTAAGAATTTAGGTTCGTGCAATAAGAAGATGTATCAGATAAAATAGAGTGATTTTCATGCATAAATTGTGAAAGAAAGTATAGTCATAAAAAAAATAAAAATAAAAATAAAAAAATCAACCAACTCTACTTTTTGAATATCCATAATTTCCTAGGGATCACCAGTTTGAAAAAATGTATAAAACTTAAGATTTACAAAGCTATTTTTCAAAAACAATTATAAAACATACTTATGAGCCAAATCAAGATCAAAATAGTTCAAATGAAGCCATTCTAAGGACATTTTAATTGTGATCTAAATGTGTCTGCCATGTCTGCTTCAGATGTCCTCGTATGACTCAAGACAATTTGACACATTACAACACAGGTTGAGTAGGAATTTACTTGTGTGTGTGTGTGTGTGTGTGTATTAAATGCTTGCATTTTATGCAGTGTTGATTTGGTTATAGTATCTCAATACAGAGCCGGAAATTAAGGGAAACATGAAATTCGTGACCAGAAATTTGTGCTCAGAATACCTCATTGATTTCTCTGTAATGCACAATAACAATGTTCTTGAACTGCCTGCAATAAGGAGAAATGATATATAAAATGAGAACTAATGCTGCCAAATTAGTGAACCATGCATATAAATGTAAAAGCCTGGAATATAAATAAATAGTTAATCGATAAAGTATTCCCAAAGTGCTTCTTTCTTCCTTTATTGTTTCATTCACAATTTAGAATACACATGTATATTTTGCATTTTTCTTTTGCCCTTTTTGGGGAGGGGTAGAGATTTAAAAATCAGAGTTTAGGCCTGATTAAACTGGCATATGCTCCCTTAGGCAATCCCCAAAGAGCACAACCACAAAGGAAAAAAAACATTGTGCCTACTCATCCAACTTGGACTACAAACATGTGAATACATTAAGAGCAATTAAAAAATAATAGAGCTTGAAATCAGCGTCACTCACTCATCAAGAATCCAATAACTGCGTCTTTGGAAGTTCAGGTTATCCTCTCCATGAACCATGCAACATTTGATAACATCAGTCCTATCAACCTACCAAAAAAAAACAGATTAGAACTAGTAAATACAGCAACATAGAGCAAAGTTCATATGCTATAGTATAGAGTTGGAATCCCCAAAAAGGACATCTATTTGGTGATCAAGGTTGTAATGCAGTATCCTTTGAAACTGTTATGGAAGGTGTAACGTTAATATTTAAATCCTCTAACATATATAAAATGCAAGGTGCCAAGAAAATTGTGAAGTGCATCCATGGCATCCTCAAAATCCCATTAGTCACAAAAAAATGAAGAAAATGTCTTGTGTCAAATAAACACACAAAACAAACTAAAAATACAGATAATATGGTCCTCAATGTCAATCATGCATAATGTGAACATATTATTTTGTACTCAACATGTCTCAAATTAATGATCCACATTTCCATTTTAGGATGTTCCATTACAATTGTCCCCGTCAAAAGTCAACCAATAAAACTTATAAGCCCCAAATTTATTTAGAGGGGCAATCACGAAAAGTTCCTGCACAAGGTGAATCTCTTAAGTATGGAAGGTTAGTTTTAAGAACTAGTCTCTATGGATATGAATGTATTTAATACTTGTCTAGTTTGATATGAGACCAAGTGAGGTAATTGTTTGATAAATGAAAACAAAGGTCAATCCCGTCAGTGGCTAACAGCTAAGGAATTCACATGATAAGACTCGCATTGACCTTTAGTAAATTAGTAGTTAAGAGTATTCATCAAAAAATAATCGAGCCTATTATTCTGGACTCAGCTTAAGATTTGATCTGCACATCGCACTGGTGAGTAGCAAATTTCTCATTCTCAGATATTCAACTATAGTGCTTAAGAATACATGATGTACAAACTACCCAATATCACTAGGCAGAACTCTACTGCTAACTACGCATAACTTTTCATTACATCCTTAGGCTACAAAATTAAAAATGAACATTCACGTGACAGAATAAGCAAACCTTCAATATTATATCAGCTTTAGTTGTATTTCCCACGTCGCTTTTCCACCAGTTGTATCCGTCCTCATGTGAATTTGGCATTACAGTTTGGTCATATAGGAACCAGGAATTAGCTGAAAAACAAAAAACACATTCATCAACATGGAATATATGTGTTCCATCAGGAATAGAGGTGTAAGAAGTGCTCGAAAATTTGAGGATGAACCCCATACTGAAAGTTAGCAAACCCCTATCACTACCCTCTACCCTGGAATGTATATTAGCACCATATGGAACAGGAGTGACATGATATTTTTAATAGGAAACACTGATGAGGAGCTGTTCTCTTCACTTAAAAGTTATCCATTCATTACTTAGAAACTAGAGGAAGTTGTATAAATAATTTACCCACCCCTACAAAACACATTCTTTATATGGTCAAAGTAGCAATTTAAGTGAAAGCCCGTGGCCTTATTCATGATACCTACTCTGTCATGAATTAATAGATACTGAACCCTATTATATCTTGCGAGGAATTATAGTAACAGTACATTAATAGGTACCAAAAAAACCGAGCCACAACAAATATACAAGAGTCTAACTTATATACACTGTTAATATAAAAATAATAATCCAAAAACTTCACAAAAGAATCCAGATAAAAGATGTCCAACCAAAGTACAATGTACTACGAGAACCATGATTCCCTCCTTTTCTGCATTTTTGTCACCCAACATATAGTTGTTTTAAAAAATAGATGTCCTGTTTTCAATAACGGAATGACTTTTCTCAACCAAAAATTTCTCCTCCTCTCCAGTAGAACAATTAACTTCAACAAAATCATCACGCAGTAAATCAAGACAGCCCGGAATAAAGTCATTAGATATGTCATCTTAGACAAATTTCTGTCATTTTGCCTTAGTGTTTACACTATAAAAAAAAAAACAAAAAAAAAAAACAAAAAACAAAACAAAAAGAACATGACATAAACTATATTGAATAGGTTCACTATTGGATGACCTGGTGGCCTTTGTGGCTGCTCGATCCTTAAGGGAAAGTAATTGAAATTTTGAATTATTTTGGAAATTTCTGGTGGTTCCAGCCAACGCCTTTCCACTTGTTGTTGAATCCATTCAGAATCTGCCATTCCAAGAAGTATCATACATCAAATAATTGCCTTATTATTATAAGAAAATACATACAAATATATTTATAGATATATATTTACATCTATAAATACATACATACAAATATATAAATACATAAATACATATATTTCTTGATTATTATAAGAAAACATATATTTATATAAATATATAAATACATAAATATATTTATAAATATAAATACATAAATATATTTATATATTTATATAAATATATAAATACATAAATACATAAATATATTTATATAAATATATAAATACATAAATACATAAATATATTTATATAAATATATAAATACATAAATACATATATTTCTTGATTATTATAAGAAAATACATACAAATATATTTATAGATATATAATACATCAAGAATTGCTTTCTTGATGATGATGATTATATACCATACATACAAATATATTTATATATGTGTACGTTATAGGATGTATGTGTATATATATGCGTGGGGTTACGTATAGCTTACTTGAGTATGGCGAGTTAGGGTTCACGACGTCGCCATTCACACGAAATAAAGAGGGCCTTGCAGATTCCGGTTAGAAGCGAGAGAGTTTTCTAGAGTGAGAAAGGGTGAGAATTGCTGAGCGTCTGTGTGTGTGTGTATGCCTGAGATGGCTATTTATACAGCTTTCCGAAATTTTAAAAACTAAAAATAATACTGAAAGAGGCGGTTAAGTCCAAGGGGCCTTTTCTTTTTCTTTTTCTTTTTCTTTTTTTTTTTTTTTTTTGACCTTGTTAAATCACAAGACCTTTTAAAAATTCATCGGGTCACCCCCAAAATATTAATTTGTTGTTAGACACTAAAAAAAGTAGCATGAAAGTGTCACGTGAGAAATTTTATTTTTTATATTATCTAAATACCCTTATATATATATATGTGTGTGTGTGACTCAAATACATTTTACTTCTCTCATGGGGCAAGAAATTCACTCACTCATTTGCCCATTACCAGGATAATAATAAAATAAAATAAAAAATCACATTGAGGGCTTAAACTGTGATACCTCTCGATTCTAGAGCCACGAGTGATCAAGTCCGAGCACAGATCCGAGGAATATCAGACAATCAATATGTAAACAAGCAAGAACACAAAAGAATTAAAAATAAAATAATAAGTTGATAAGAATTCTAAATACCAAAATCCTCCAAATAAAATATTATAAATTTATTTCATTTAATTTTTCAATCCTTATAACTCGGGAATCCATCTAGCGGACCCTTAATTATCCCAAATAAACAAAAATTACCAAAACCAATCCAAAACTAAAATAAGAAATGAAATCCTAGTCGGAAGAGTGAGTGACTGTATCTGCTTCATTACGATCAAGCTCTAAGCCTGGTACTAACGAACACCTGAAAAATAAGAGTAGGTCAGGCCCACATACAAGTTCCATCCTACTACAATCCATACATAAACCCGATACGTAGATACATCCTAGATAGCTCGGCAATATCTAAAATAGTCCATAAATATATAGATACACACTATAGGATGTTCACTAGCCTATAATGTAGTTCAGCCTGCATAGAAGGAAACATGTAAACCACACTTTCCAGTGGCCATGTACATCTCCGGTCAGGGAACATCAGCTATATCTAGTTACTCAACCTTTGCGATATATGCACCCTAACTATGATCCTTAGACCCATGATCATATCACAGTACCATAAGTATATATATAATATCCTTCCTAATACAGAAAAAATAAAGCAACCATCTGTTATGTCGTTCAACTGTTTTAGTTGACAGGACATGCATCCATGTAGGATTTAACTGTTTTAATTAATCCATTTCGTATGTATGAAGGGGTAGGACTTAGCGTTTTGATCTAATCCATCCCTGATATGCCACCGTTCTATACCGGTGCATATAATGCATATGATCCATAAATGATGCACACTCAAATGAACATCAAGTATATCTAAAAACCAACATAATAGAAATCAGATATAGATAAGATCATATCATGCATCCAGTATATGATTATAATCATAAAACTTCCGTTTAAATTGTTAAAGTATTGATAAACAATTTAAACCATACATATCCATCCAATTGATAAAACAGAAAATATAACAGTTCATCAATTTACATCCATAGCATGTTATAATGATCATTAGAAGTATTAACTGAGTATATTATACCCAAAATCCCAAATGAATCCTTTCATACTAGTCCATTAAATTTACTAAACCAGACTAGCAATTTAAACCTTCCACAATCCTTAACATCATGCAAATTATTATATAAATTTAATGATGTCCATTACGAATCCAAAACAGGCTATAATGATACTCAGAAGTATAAACTGAGCACATACACTCCAATCCTAAATATATTCCTAACAGTCCGTTTAATTTATTACAAAGACCACTTAGCAATAAAACTTTCATATTCCCTAACGGCATGTAAATTATTGTTAAAGTTCATGGAGTCCATTAACACAACATAAACCAACATCCCTGGCCTTCGCTAAATTATATATATAATTAATATAACATCCCATAAATAATATAATACCAGTCCGTTTAAGTTGCTAACACAAACCTAGCAAATTAAACCTTCCTCCTTCCTTGATAGCATGCTTATTATACGTTTATGTTTCATGATGCCCCTTAGGACTAGCACACTGGCTTTTACTACCTGTTTTAAGGTTTTAACAGGTTAGTTATAAACATTTACAACCTCCCATAACTTTCCAGAAATTCCATTCAAGCCTCTGGAACTCAGAAATTATCGTAGGGTTTTTTTTTCAAGGGAGCTGGCTCCCCCACCATGGGAGCCGGCTCTGTAACTTCCAGAGCCGGCTCTCTCTTCATGGGAGCCGGTTCCCTCCATTAGGGAGCCGGCTCTCTCTTTGAGAGCCGTCTCTGCTTCATCTCTACTTCATCCGTTCACCCTCTTCGCTTCCAGCGAAGTTTCTAGTCTCTGTCCCCATTGATTTTAAACTTCCTAAAGTCCAAACTAAATCCAAACAGTCCTATAAACTCTTTACATTCCCTTATGAATTGATTGACAAAAGCTTAACCACAATCGGAACAGTTTAAGACTAAAACAATTATAGTTTAAACAAAGGCAAACAACAGATTTCAATTTGATTTAATTATGCATAACACATCCGTTTTTAATGTTTAATTAACTTCCTGGAGACCATTTAGAATGCACAGAACACAAGTTTACAGGAAGGAGATAGAATGAAACTTGCTTTTAGGTTTTGGTTTAAAACTTTTTAACGTCGTCTCTAAATTCCGACGACTGTTGGCAACCCTCCTACCGCTTGGTTTCAATCCCACAAGCCATCCATTCTTTCCTCCTCAGTCCGACCTTCAGTCCACAACTAAAATCCTACTTGGTGTTTCTCACAGTTTCCTCTCAAGCTCCTCTGTTTTCCCTCTTCAAGAACTATGACGTGCATAGGGTTTTCTAACCCTAGCAGACTTGTATGGTTCTATATATAAGCCTTCATTAAACCTTCGTCTAATTCCAATACAACTTAAAAGTCGGCTAACCTAACTTCACAACAGAAACCCTAAACCTAAACTATACTTACAACCATATAAATAACATACGTCATGTGAAACATCAATTAATCAAATAATTAAATAAAATAACAATTAAACAATTTATTTAAAACAACTAAACAATTAAAATTATACTTTAAAACTAAAAAAAAAAACAATTTAAAATTAAATACTTAATTTAAAACAAATAAACAATTAGACAATTAACTTAAATAAACACAATTTATCAATTTAAAAAAAAAAAAAAAACACATAAGTCACATAATTAAATAAAAATACAATAACAATCAAAATTAAATTCCCATTTTATCCTTTTGAAAATTAGGGGTATTACATAAACCTTCACCATCCATTTTGGGGCAGAGGAGATATTTACTATTAGGCCATAAGGCCATTGGTCAAATACCTTTTACTTAACTTGATGTTGGGGATAATTAATTCCCTCCAACTCACTCAATGGTCGACTGTTGTTGAGAGTTAAATCCCTTCTCCATCACACACAGCGGAAGCATCATCACATCCTATCATATCAACACAACTATATATGGAGATAACAATCACACACATTCACGCACAACACAAATATTTTACATGATTCGCTCAACTCTAGGGTTAAGATAGAGATTTCACTATTATGACTCAAGGAAAAGAATATACAACCACAAGTCAAAACACCACTCACTCACTCATCATCTCTTTTGAAGCTACATGTATACACTTGGAAATTACATATACTCTCCACTCTCCTCACAACATTCACCCTTAACCCCCTTACATCTTTTCTTTCTTCCCTCTCTCTCTAAACTCCTCACACCCATCTCTATTTATAGAGTCTTCAAAAACCCAATTCCTTATTGGACTCCTCAACTTGGCTACAAAGAGTTACCGTAATGATTAAAACTCTAAAATAAAAACATAATGGGATGCACTTTCCTCTACAAATTTCAACCTTCTAAAACGAAAAAGGAAACAAATTTTCTGCACACGAATTTTGAGCCACAAACCCAACAATCTCTACCTTGGCTCAAAATTCATTTTCACGTGTTCCTTCATAGCTCCACCTCAACTGAAGGTCTCTCCATCTCGAATAAAGATTGCTCCACCTCAAACCAAACTCTATCCATTATTCTCATTGGTGTTCAATTGCTCACACATAGCAACCCACCAATCTTCAAATCATCTTCATCAATTGTTTTTCTAGATCAAAATAACAAACCTCACATCTTCACTCTTCATATTCCCCTTTATTCTTTATCAGACTCAGAGCAAACCCTTTTATTCTTCACACCCTTGCCCCATCTTGAGAACTAACACCTTCTCTGGCTTATCCCCAAAACTTGTTCCTCGTGGGCTTCACCTCTAACACCTTCACCTAATCTTGAAAACGAGCATCCTCTGGGTTGTCCCAATTGACTTGTTCCTTATGGGTCTGTGTCTTCACACAATATATCTTCTTCGTGTCATCATCAACTCTAATTAAATCTCCATAGTACATCACGATCAGCCTCTGCTCTGACAAACTTTGCACCAATCTTCTGTTACTGATCTTTAGGACCAATTACAGGCTCTGACCAACCATCGGCTCTGATACCAGTTGGTGGGAATAATTAACTCTCTCCAACCTACTCAATGATTGGTTATTGTCGAGAGTTAAATCACTCATTCATCACACACAACGGAAGCATCATCACATCACATCAACACAACTATATATGGAGATAACAATCACACACATCCACGCACAACACAATATTTTACATGGTTCACCAAACTCTAGGATTACGTCCATGGGAGAGAAAGATTTCACTAGTATGAATCAAGGAATAGATTATACAACCATATGTCAAAACCCTACTCACTCACTCATCATCTCTTTTGAGGTTACATGTATACACTTGGAAATTACATATACTTTCCTCAGTCTTCAAAAACCCAATTCTTTATTAATTGGACAAAGATTCCTCAACTTGCCTACAAAGAGTTACTATAATGATCAAAACTCTAAAATAGAAACATAATGGGATGCACTTTCCTCTAAAAATTTCAGCATTTCAAAACGAAAAAAGAAACTAATTTTCTGTACACGAATTTTGAGCCACAAACCTAACACCTGA